GAGCAGTTCTCTCTGTGCCCAGGGCGATCACAGGATGCCGGTCACAGGTGCTGGCGAAACGTTAGGAAACAAAACTTCAAGAACACGGCCACACAGCCCGGAAGACCCACACCAGCCATCGTATGCCGGCCGTGAAAGCCTTCGACGAAAGTAAGATTATTACATGATGCTCTGTTTCATATATTACAGTATGCATGTTAAATATTCTTGTTTTTCCTAATATTCTTTAGTGATACTCGAATAATGAGATTGAACAAAATACAGGTAGTCCTTGCTTAACAACCACAATTGGGACTATAATTTAGGTCGCTAAATGATGCAGTTGTTAGTTGAATCATCACATAACTGGACCCAATTTTACAACCTTTTTGCGGTGGTCGCTAAATGAATCACTGTGGTCATTAAGCGAATCACACGGTTCCCTATTGATTTTGCTTGCTGGAAGCTGTCTGGGAAGGTTTCAAATGGTGTTCATATGACCATGGGATGCTGCAACCATCGTAAGTGACAGCTGGTTGCCAAGTGCCCGGATCATGATCATGTCACCGTGGGGGTGCTGCGATGGTTGTAACTTCAGGTATTGGGTGTAAGTCACTTTTTTACTGCCATTGTAACTTTGAACGTCACTGAACAAATGGTTGTTAACTGAAGATTACCTGTAGATGATAGTAAGGATGTTTATTTATTTGAAAAGATTCTGTATCCAATCCATCTAAATATAACTGATTAATTTTAGAAATGAACTTATTTCCAAATCCCATTTTAATAACAATTTGTTTGAGAAATGTATTTACCACTACCAAATTTAATAAGGCTATAGAATTTTAGTATTTTTAGGCTTATGCATTATATTTAATATTCTCCTAATTTAGTGTATCCTGCTTCTTTTAAGAAAAACCTGGATTGACCTGGAAATATACAACTACTTGAGAAATTACTGAATCTCCTGGACCACAATATTACACTTTTTAAAAATCTTACTGTAACAAAGCAGTAGGCACATCTGCTAAGGGTCTTGATATATTTATGGAACAATTAAAACTCAAATTTGTTTCCAGGAACCATGCATGTTTGCCTCTCTGGATATATTATCATACATTTTATATACATATGATACAAAATAATAAAATATTATATAAATATTAAAACATCAATATAATAATGCAAAATGAAAATAAGAATAAGAATAAACAACAAGAATAAAATGAAAAAGAAGCAGCTAAGGATAACCATCAACAATAATTACCAATATCTCACAGGCATATCTAATCTGGGCGAACAGCCAGGTCTTAAAGGCCTTCTGAAAGGCTAGCACAGATGAGGCCAATCTAATCCTGGAGGGGAATGGTGTTCCAGAGGGCAGGTGCAGTGACAGAAAAGGTGTGTAAGAAGGATATTACTTGACACAATGCTGACAATTCTGTGATATTACAACTGATATGCTTCTAGATTTAGAAGAGCCTGGAACTAAAAATTGGTATCTGATCCAAGAATTCTTAAGTATTGGCTTTAGTAGAATGATGGATTGCCTGGAGGCAGATAATATCAAACTTTTCTTGTTTATAATAAGTAATGACTTTTGATTGCTTAGCTGATTATCTAAACATTAAAGTTAAATGATAGAATTTCTCAAATTAGCATAACATACACTTAATTTAATGACATTTACCTTAACTAATATTTTGTTCTTCTCAGCTAATGTATTTTGTAAAATGTGTTCTTTTACAGATAATATTTCTACCACAATGAATGTCTTTTAAGAGAGTGAAAAGAACAACATCTAGACAAAAATAAAACCCATTGTGGGATCATATTTTCCAGATTTCATCTCCTTAGGTTGTATAATTAAAAAAAAAATTGTGCTGACTTTGGTGGGAAATGAAAGAAAATAGAAGAATTAAGCTTACAGTACGTTTAATGCAACTCTAAATTTAAAATATACCTCTCAAAAAACACTCCAAAGAGGAAAACATAGGCCAAAAATTATCCTCCTGACCCTCCTTTGACTTCTTGACTTCACTGCCTGACCTGCTATGACCCTCAAGGGCTTAAAAAATACAGGTAGTCCTCAACTCATGACCACACATGGGACCGGAACTTCCGTTGCTAAGTGATGTGGTTGTTAAGTAAGCTGCACCCAATTTTACAACCTTTTTTGCCGCGGCTATTAAACGAATCATGCGCTTGTTAAGCAAATCTGGCTTCCCCCATTGACTCTGCTTGTTGGAAGCCCCATGGGAATGCCTCAAATAGCGATCACATGACCCCAGGATGCTGCAACCATCATAAATACATGCCAGTTGCCAAGCACCTGAATTTTGATCATGTGACCGTGAGGATGCTATGACGGTCGTAAGTGTAAGGACCGGTTATAAGTCACTTTTTTCAGTGCCGTTATAACTTCAGACGGTCATTAAATGAATGGTCGTAAGTCAAAGACTACCTGTAAAGCAGCAATAACGATGAAATATGTTCCATTCTCCAGCTACAAAAATCACTGTTTGTTGTTCTAACCACTACCAGTTTCTAAAAGCCAAGGAGCGTGATTGTGCGGATAAAAGAACTGCTACAGATAACACTGCCAAAGAACTTGAAATATTTTCTAGTACAAGGGTTTTTATTTATATTCTGCATTCCCAGTATGAACTTAACAAATAAGCCTGACCAACCACAAAGCTTTGGGCCATCCTTAGACAGACAGAATCCTCATTCTCTTTTCTAATTTGTTTGTTTGGAGATAAGCACTAGCCTATACAGGAAATATAGGCTACTCTAAATCCAGGACAGTACAGCACTTCTGCTACTTGCCTAAAAATGTATACTACATGCTCATCATAAATGCTGCTCCCCCAACTACAATACTGCAGTCTGGCCTACAGATATACAATACTCTTGTTGACTTCAGTGGCAGTTCAGATGGATGTCAGCACAGAATTGTTGGACGTTTACTAACCAGTGTACAGAAGATGCATTGGCATTGTGCTATTGTTGTCATCTGCTCCACAGGATACTCCCCAAGGCAGAGTTTACACAATACAAGAGGATCAAGCACCAAGTCCCAAGTAGGTCTGTATCTGGCTGTAGTCATTGCAGAAGAATCTGAAAAGGGAAGAGGAAGAGTGTGTCAATAAAAAAATCTGTCAGAAATGTCACATGTTTTCTTTAACCTGACCACAGTGAAAAGTTGCACAAACAATTTTTCAAGCAGAAGTGGGCAACATGCAGGTCATAGATGGCCCTACCAACTCCCTTTTTTGCCACTCTGAGCTTCCTGACTTTGTACTACCAAAATAATACACTTCCATTTTTAAAAAAAGCAATGGCAAAGTATACTTTGATAATTTTCATTTACGTATTTTATTAATTTCCATCATTCCCAAAATTCAATTGTTGTTAATGTCAACCTGTGGATTTTGGCCTGGGCCTGTCCTAGAAGATGACTAACAATGGGAAAGTCATATCAAATGAAAAAACTGCACTAAGTATATCCATTCACAAATTAATGGATGAAGTCAAGGGCAAACCTATGTATTGCTTACTCTGAATACCAGTTTGGTACCTGGGTTGTACACCCTGGAATGTTTTAACCAATCAGAATATTCATGACATCCATCACAACACCAAGAAGCTTCATCACTATTCCTGTTTTAAATAACATTTTGGAAAGATGTGTGCTGTAAGCATTCAAAGATCTTGTGCTAGTTTGAGTTTATTTTCCCCATAATTCCTATTCCTTGCCCCAACATGCTTCTATTAGGAGTGTCCCTTCCTTCTCCCATGTGATCTTATGGGTGCTGAAAAGTTCTGAATTGTATCACTGTAGGAGATCACAGGTCATCCTGTACATGCTGATCTCCTCTGCCTTGATGTACCTGTTCTTCAGCTCTGTAACAATGGGAACCGGAGACCAGCAGAAGGAAGAAAAGGTACACAAGGGTACATGATTGCTGCTGTTGCTCCTATCCCAGAGTGCCCTGAAGACACTTCAGCTAACCCATAATTATGAATGGCTTGGGTTCATTTAAATGTCCGAAATATACATGCACCTTAATATTAACAAAATAATATACAAGCATGCTTAATAATATACAAGCAACACCTTCAAGTCAGTGTTGACTCCTGGCAACTTCCTGCACTAGTCCAGATTTTTGGAAGTGGTTTGCCCTTGCCTGCTTCTTGGGGCTGAGAGAGAGTGACTGGCCCAAGGTCACCCAATTGGCTTCGTGCCTAAGGCAGCACTAGAACTCACAGACTCCTGGTTTCTAGCCTGATGGCTTAACCACTATGTCATATTGGAAGAATAATGTGACTTTATTATCTGTCAATGTAAAAGAACTAAAGTTGCAATTTAATCCTACCCACCACTCCCTTTGGATATTATTTTAGCTGATAGATCCCTTTTTTTCTATCACTACTAATTGTAGGCAGAAGCCATCAAGGGTTACACAATCACTTTTTTAGATTCCTCTGCTTGTTAAGGAAACAAGAGCAATCTTTCCATTCTTGGCCACCAAGAAGTATTATGTAGGGCTTATTCTTCATTACAGCAACTGGATAGAAAACAAGAAAGGAAAGGGGGAAAAGGTCAAGTAATCTTATTTTCGGGGGATGTTTTGGATCATTTCTTCTTAGTCATGAGCTTGAACTTTGTTCCAAAGAAAAAAGGAAATAAAAAGTCATTGAACAGATCTTAACTCCAAAATGAAAAGCATAAAAGAGATGTAGCGAGGTCAGAACAATCTGTATTCTTTATGTGAAATTCTACATGTGTATGTAGTATTTAGATGGGAAGGAGAGAGAGAGAAAAAAGAAAGAAAAAGAGAGAGAATAATTATATGTATATCAAACCACAGTGCTCTTAGTTTACTATAGACTTCTAACCTTTCTTTAAAAGTTATCTTGTACAGGCTTATTTTAAAGCCCGCACCAGCTAGCCAAATGTGTAATAAGAATGACCACCATTATTATAGAAACTTTCACATTTTCTAAAGGTCATCTGCTCCACTTTTGCTGAGGAAGCCTGATTCTAAGAACATCACACGCATGCATGTGGTGTCCTAATCTTAAAAAGTGGGTTGGGTTTATCCTCATGTATTCGCTTGCTTTTGAGATCTGCCCTAGAAAAGAAACTAATAGTTCCAAAGGAATCTGAAGTTCTGTCTCCAAACAATGACATCAATTACTATCTATTTCTTACTTTCTAGGCTTAAAAGCCATTGGCTGCAATCTCATTATGTTTGCTCATTCTTTAAATTTTTTTTTAAAATTAATTTTTTTTTAAGTTTAAAAAATGATTATGTTTACTCATTCTTTAAAAAAAAAAATCTTGGATTTATAGAGTTGGTGTTCCTAAAGAGTTCTCCAAATATATAGAAACTGTCACCATCTTGTTTTTGGATAGTCCCACTTCACTTCCAAATTCTGTAAAACAGTCAGTTATACATACGTAAACACATACACACACATCATGCTGTTCTTTTTCATAAACACTGTTATGCACAGTGCAGAAAAGAACCGAGAGGAGGAGGAGGAGGGAGAACATAAAGGTGGGAGGTAAAAGAAAAGGAAATCTAACTAAATCTGCTTTACATAAATGGTCTTCCCTTTCCTCTTGACCCAGTCTTGGTCTTCCCCTTTCTCTTGACCATTCACTCTTGCTTCATACATGCACTCTGATATTTGATCTTTTTCCTTTCTCTCCAGATGACAAAACCACCTCAACATCCTATTGGTCACTCACTTTTAAATTCATTCAGTACTATAGGCATGCATTATCAGATGTGAAGTGGGCAAGGGTATTTTGGATCCAATGTGGACACCTTTTGCTGTATCTGCCAGATACCTAGAATCGTATTGTTAGAAGTCAGGAGACTAATGCTAATATTAATACTTCCTCCTCCTCCTCCTCTTCACTCACATAGTAGTTGTGGGGCTTAGGATAATGTGAGTTTGAGTTAAGGAGACACTAAAGTGAAGGCAGCAGGTACAGCAAAGATGGCCATGGTGGACCTAAAGCAAGCTTGCTGCTTTAGATGGGATATTGTACCATCTATTTGGCACCCATTCATTCTTGGCCTTATCCCTTATTTTACCACACTTCCTAGGTAATCCATTCCTACTGCACTTCAACTTAATTTTATACAGTCTTTTGCTTTTTTTTTTCAACAAGCACTTACTTTATTTTAGGCAATAGACCATGTTCTATCTACAACCTTTCCTGCAGAATTTGAAGGTCTTAAAATTTCTCTGTTTCCTTTTATAGAGAGAATATATGTTTTCCTCATTCCTTTTTTTAACATTATGAAACCCTACTTGTAAAACACATTTGTTCATTACAAAATAGTATCTAAAATTGCAAATGTGAGAAATGTGTCTCATCCATTTCTACTCAAATAATTATGCTACTTCTGAGGGTGAGTTATTGTAGCATTACCCAATGGTATGGTTATTAATGTTGAACTAGGTATGGCAAGACACAAGTCAATTTCCCATTTGATCACAGAGCTTAGTGGGCAACTTTCCTCTTGAAAAACACTGAAATGAGAGACAGATCACCATCTACCAAGTCTTATATCACAGGATCATAGGGTTGAAAGAGACTTTGGAGGTGCGCTAGTCCAACCTCCTGCCAGGGCAGGAATCCTCAGACCATCCCAGACAAATGTTCTTTGTTTGAAAGCCTCCAGTGATGGAGCACCCATGGGTTCAAGAGACAGGTTGTTCCACTGCTTAATAGCTCTCATGGTTAGGAAATTCCTTATTTCGAGTTTGGATCTCTCTCTGTACAGTTTCCACCCGCTGGTTCTTGTTCTACCCTTGGGCACTACAGAGAATAAATCCACACTTGTTTCCCTATGACATCCCTTCAAGCATCAGAAGATTGCTATCATCCTCTTAGTTTTTTTTTCTTCTTCAAACTAAACATATCTGTTCTTTTAACTGATCTTCATAGGATTTAACCTCTGTCCCTCATATTTTAAAGGAGAAAATGGCTACTTTTATACATGCGTAATCTTACAATTTATGGGATGTTACTGTATTTTCTACTTCACTACTATCATAGCTAAACATAAAATGCACATAGGTTGCTGAAGAAAGGAGATCTGATATTTGTTGGTAAGAAAAAATTCATGCAATGCAGATAACGAAGAAATCTGTGTACTTGTCAATAGCCAAGTGGTAATAGAACACAAAATATTTTCAAATCTAGGGTTGTATTATTTCCTGTTGAAAGTGCTACAGTCTTAGCTGCATGCATTGTTAAGAGCACGGATTATCTGTTAGGAAAAAAATACCTGCCCTTCCCTTTTTCTATTGTCAAGGAAGGCCCACAGGAAGCAACAAAACAAAACAAAACCTGATGGTGGCTTTTCTCCTATTTTCAAGACATTGGAGAAAGCAAGGAATACAGTGTGGATTTGTACTTGAGATTTTTAAATTATTTAAGAACCGCTGCATTTCTTCTTTCCTGCTAGTCCATTCAAATTCCATCCTCTAGCTCTGATGACAAATCCTTTTTTGTAAGCAGTGGCTAATCTACTCTGATATCACCATGGGCCTTTCAGACACAACTATTACAACTGCTCAGCTGCAAATCTGAAGATTAGCATTAAACTAAATGTTGCAGGTATGCTACTCTAAAACCTGTTCTCATTCCCCTGGTTAAATATGAGTAGGTAGTCCTGCAAAGGACGATCAAGAAAGTATCACATGTAGTTCCAAGGAAAAACAGATGACAGGAAAGTTAAATCCTCCTCCCTGTGCCCTTTTTCCAACTGCAAACTGTCCCTCCCAAAGAAGTTTTGTAAAAGAGAAACAGCATTTGGGCTAACTTTACACATGGCTGTCATTTTTTAAACTAATATGAGCCCCCCTAGAGACAGTAACTTTTTTAAAAAGGAGAGAGAAATATACCAAAGGGATACATAAATAATGTTCTACTAGCCACAAGAACTGATATACAGTTCTTGCATGTCCTTAGAAATTAAATGCTAAAGTAAATTACCACTAGATTAATATTGCTATACATGAAGAATTATTCAATAACATTTCTGATGCAAATTGGTGGTACAGTTTCAGAACTTTAGAATATAAATATT